CCTGGGCTCAAGCAATCCTCCCGCCCCCATGTGTATCTTCTTATTTATTTATTTATTTTTAGAGATTGAGGCTTGAACTCCTGGGCTTAGGTGATCCTCTTGCCCTAGCCTTCTGCGTAGCTGGGACTACAGGCAGGTGCCACCACATCTGGCAAATTTTAAAATTTTTTGTAGAGACGTGGTCTCACTGTGTTCCCCATGCTAGTCTTGAACTTCTGGCCTCAAACAGTTCTCCCGCCTCAGCCTCTCAGAGTGTTAGAATAACAGGCGTGAGCCACTGTGCCTAGTCCCCATGAGTATCTTCATGAAACATTTTACATCTAAAAACTCACTATTTAAGACTAATTGGATGAAAGCGTTTACCGGTTGGAAAAATCTTACGTAAGTCTGCATTATAAAATGTGTTCAAAGAATTACAATTTAATTATTTTTATGTATATACATGTGCTTTTACTGCCTAAGAATTATTTCTAAATATAAGTCCTAGGGCTACTTGAATAATTTGTAATATGCAATTAATGTGCTGTCCTTTAAAAACTTTTAATTTAATAGGTAAAACTATATCCCTTTCAAACTTATTATATATCTTGGCAGATGCTTTATAGAAAGTGCAACAGCATATTGTGTCTCAACCAAATTTAAATGATAGCTTTTAATGTTTTAATATACAGTATTGTAGTATAGTAGTGAAACAATGTTGGTTGGTCCCTTTACTAACTCTCAATGCAAGTTAACTGCTCACCCATAATTCCTTTTGTAATGAAAATCGTTAGTATTTAATTAGGTTTAGCTATGATATGAAATAATTATATTTACTTATGTTTTCTTTTTCTCTCCTTTTACACAGCTACTTCTGAGTGGAGGAGCAGACAATAAATTGTATTCCTACAGATACTCACCTACCACTTCCCATGTGGGGGCATGAAAGTGAACAATAATTTGACTCTAGAGATTATTTCTGTAAATGAAATTGGTAGAGAATCATGAAATTACATAGATGCAGATGCAGAAAGCAGCCTTTTGAAGTTTATATAATGTTTTCACCCTTCATAACAGCTAGTGTATCACTTTTTCTTATTTTGCATTTATAATAAGATAGGTTGTGTTTATAAAATATAAACTGGCATGCATTCTCTATACAAACTTGAAATTAAACTGAGTTTTACATTTCTCTTTAAAGGTATTGATTTGAATTCAGATTTTTTTTTTTTTTTTTTTTATTTATTTTGGAGTCTTGTTCTGTCGCCGAGGCTGGAGTGCAGTGGCATAATCTCAACTCACTGCAACCTCCGCTTCCTAGGTTCAATCAATTTTAACCACCCAAGTAGCTGGGATTACAGGCATACACCAGCATGCCCTGCTAATATTTGTATTTTTAGTAGACACGGGGTTTTGCCATATTGGGCAGGCTGGTCTTGAACTCCTGACCTCAGGTGATCTGCCCGCCTCAGCCTCCCAGAGTGCTGGTATTAGAGGCATGAGCCACCGCACCTGGCCGAATTAAGATTTGTTTTTGAAATGCTATAAAAGGTTATATTGGAAATCCAGTAATTGTTCAGATTTTTATTTCTATTAGAGACTTAGATTTTTTTAAGTTACCTATTTTTAAAAAGCATTCAAAAAGATTAATGAAAATTGTAATAGAGAAAAAGTTAGAAACACAGTTTCCTTTTGGCAAAATAAATGTTCGAAAATTAGGCTGTGAGGGTATTTAGAACATTAAAAAAAAATGTAGGAGGGGCACGGTGGCTCCCACCTGTAATCCCAGCATACTGGGAGGCCGAGGCGGGTGGATCACATGAGGTCAGGAGTTTGAGACCACCCTGGCCAACATGTCAAAACCCTGTCTCTGCTAAAACTACAAAAATTAGCTGGGCATGGTGGCAACCGCCTGTAATCCCAGCTACTTGAGAGGCCGAGGCAGGAGAATTGCTTGAACCCGGGAGGTGGAGGTTGTAGTGAGCTGAGAACGCACCACTGCACTCCATCCTGGGCGACAGAGCGAGACTCTGTCTCAACAACGACAACAACAAAATGTCAATTCGGCAGGGCACGGTGGCTCATGCGTGTAATCCCAGCACTTTGGGTGGCCAAGGCAGGTGGCTCACCTGAGGTCAGGGGTTCGAGACCTGCCTGACCAACATGGTGAAACCTTGCCTCTACTTAAAAAAAAAAAAAAAAAAAAATCAAAAAAAAATTAGCTGGGTGTGGTGGCACACTCCTGTTGTCCCAACTACTTGGGAGGCTGAGGCAGGAGAATTGCTTGAACCTGGGAGGTGGAGGTTGCAGTGAGCCAAGATCACACCACTGTACTTCAGCCTGGGCAGCAGAACCAGACTCCATCTCAAAAAAAAAAAAAAAAAGTGATTGCCAATTTTTGAAGAATTCATCAAGATATTTTAAGGGAGGCACTTTATATTAAATATATGTCAGATCCTTTAGAAATTGCATACAGTTGACTGGGCGTGGTGGCTTACGCCTGTAATGCCAGCACTTTGGGAGGCCAAGGCAGGTGGATTGCCTGAGCTCAGGAGTTTGAGACCAGCCTGGGCAACACGGTGAAACCTCATCTCTAATAAAATTTAAAAAGTTAGCTGGGCGTGGCGGCATGTGCCTGTAGTCCCAGCTACTTGGGAAGCTGAGGCAGGCGAATTGCTTGAACCTGAGAGGCTGAGGTTGCAGTGAGCCAAGATTGTGCCACTGCATTCCAGCCTGGGCGACAGAGCAAGACTCTAAAAAAAAAAAAAAAAAAAATGCATTGCATACAGTTTTCACTGTAACCTCCTAATCTTTCCTCATGTGTAGATAAGAATAAATTCTTTAGACAAAACTTTTAATCAGTATTAGATAAACATTCTACAAATTTTATGATACCATTAGCAGTTATCTTTATGCATGTGTTACATAAAAATATTTAAAGTAAATATTTTTAAAATGTTATTTCCATCATTAATGGATTGATATTCCTTAAGTAGAGCATTCACAACCTTTATTAATATTTGGGAAGTATGTTTGGTCTCATTAGATGGTATTACATCTCAGATGATGTTCCTGTTGCAGAAGTCTGTGAAACAGTATCTATACTTGGCTGCAGTTGAGAGCTAAACAGTGTGTTGAACCAGTTAGGAGTTTAATTCTCTGTAGAAAACCAGAGGCAGTCCAGGGCTGGTGTAGTTTTTGTTCCACATTGCTTAGGATCCTAGGCTCCCTCCGCCCCTGGGATATGGTCCTCATTTTCACATAGATCAAGAGCCAGAGCTCCAGTTATCATTTCTTAAAGTATATTTTAATGCCAAAAAAGTGAATAAAGGTGGGCAGAAAATGCATGCACAGAATCCTTGTTTTTCTCATTTTGTGCTGATTGGTATAAATTTTATTGTATTTGTAGTCTCTGGAAATCTAACTTTGAGAGGACAAAGATGAATTCTTAGTCCTGTTTTGGATGGTCTTTGAATGATCCTTAAGGGCAGTTATTTATAATGTCTTTCTTAACTCACCCAACGTGGGCTGACCAAATGTAGTCTGTATAAACTAGGTGGTTAAAGTAAAGGTAAAGAAGCTATCAGATGCAGTAGACAAAGAAAAAAATGGCATCCAGAACTGGTCCCCACCTATTCCCAGTCCTGGTTCCACAGCAAAATACATTCATAGTTCAGGCATTCTTCCTTGGGATAGATATAATGTAAGCGACCAAGTCTCTTGGACAAGGATTGTCTCTGATCAATCCCTGCCAAACTCCTTTCCTTTGTTAACTCAAGTGGTTAGATCTTACTCGCTGAACAGAAGGAATATGAGAGGTCAAAACATGCCTATTCAGTCCTCTTATATTGCTCCACACCCTTTCCCTCAAAAGCCAAGAGACCTTTCAATGGTCCCCTTTCCTCTACCAGAACACCAGAGATGCCTGCTTTACATGGACTTACATGCTCCCAAGAATCACTTGGATAAATGAGTGGTGCTACTTTCCCATGGTTGGGGAAAAGCTAGGAACCTGACAATGCAATGCTCGGAACCTGCTGACCAGTACTAGTTATGCTGTCTTGCCATAATAGTGCAGTTCTTTAAAATGTTGATGCTTGCTCTCTTACCAAGGAAAGGTTGGTTTTTTTGTTTTTTTGTAGAGACAGGGTCTCATTATGTCACCCATACCGGAGTACAATGGTGTAATCTTGGCTTACTGCAACCTCCATCTTCTGGGCTCAAGCCATCCTCCCACCTCAGCCTTCCAAGTAGCTGGGACCATAACCAGCCAATGTTTAATTTTTAATTTTTTAATATTTATTTATTTTATTTTGTAGAGTTAGGGTTTCGCCATTTGCCCATGCTGGCCTTGAACTCCTGGGCTCAAGCAGTCTGCCCGCCTGGACCTCCCAAAATGCTGAGATTACAGGCATGAGCCACCGCACCCAGACCAAATAAAGTTTTAAGAAATTCCTTGGCCAGGCATGGTGGCTCAGGCTTTTGTAGAAAAACATAGCTTTCCTGTGAGAAGATAATCAATATTTTCTTTTCTTTTCCTTTGAATTTGGAATTGCCATTTTGGAACTGTTGTCAACAATGCATAATAATATATCAGAATGCTTCCTAGTATAATATTATTGGAGAAAGAACAAACAAAAGTTTAAATTGATATAAAATGCACATAATTGAACAAACAACCCTGCAAAAAAAAAAAAAACCATCTGGGAATTTCTGATAATAACATTGAAATCTGTTCACACAGTCTAAAATTCTTTTGATGTATCATAGTTTTGAAAAAAGATAACAGTTTATTATATATAACAAATATAAGGAAAATATTAAATTTTTTGAAAGATACTAGTTTTTATTTTTGTTCATTTTTTAGAGATAGGGTCTCACTATGTTGCCCAAGCTAGAATGCAGTGGCCTGATTATAGCTCACTGCAGCCTCAAACTCCTGGACTCAAGGGATCTCCCACGTCATCCTCCTAACTAGGACCACAGGCGCATGTCACCACATCTGGCTGATTTTAAATTTTTTTGTGAAGACGGTCTCGCTGTGTTGCCCAGGCTGGTCAAGAACTCTTGGCCTCAGGCAGTCTTCGTGCCTCAGCCTCCTTAAGTGCTGGGATTATAGGCAAGTCACTGTGCCTGGCCAAAAATACTAATTTTTAATAGATACCATTATGGCTCCTATTCTTAAAGGAAAAAATAGGACATTTTAAGACTCTATGCAAGGGATATTCAATTAGTATATTTTTTATTTAAAAAGCCACTACTTAGAATCAGATTTCATTAGGCAAATGAAATCCAGATATTACTAGCCAGAAACTATCAGGTGTAGAAACAGCAGGAACATTTTAGTCACTTTGTTGTTGACATTTTTGACTATCATAGATTAAGTATCAAACACAATAATGGTATTTTGTTATATGAACCAAATATATCTCTTTTTACGAGACATAGTCTAGCTCTCCCATCCAGGCTCAACTCCCGGGTTCAAGGGATCCTCCTGCCCCAGCTTCCTGAGTATGTACCTGGGAGTACAAGTGCATGCCACCACACCCAGCTAATTTTTTTTGTTTTTGTGGAGATGGGGTCTTGCTATGTTGCCCAGGCTGGACTCCAACTCCTGACCTCAAGCAATCATCTTATCTTGACTTCCCAAAGTGCTAGGATTACAGGCATGAGCTACTGCATCCAACCTGAACCAAATTTATCTTATAACTTAGAAGAGAAACATTTTTGGCTTGTTGGTTTTATAGAATTAAACCTAATTTTTGTTCTAATAGCAGTTCCATTGATTTGCAGATTTAAGGTAGTAAATTATTTTCTTGCAGTGTCTATAAAAGTAAATGAAATTATGTCCTATCATAAAAATCCTCTATAGATAATAAATTATTTACATTTTATAGGAGAGAAAAAATACATGTTAAAGTTTTTGAACAGACACACAGGCAGAAAATAAATGGCAGTGGATTTGAACTTGGACTTATTTTGGACAAGCTCTTAACTGGTATATATTTTGTCAATCTTATGTCATGCACAAGAATGATATTTTTATAAATGGAAAGAGTGAGTGTGGAAGTGTCTTCATTTACCTAACAGGTTATATGTGGTTGGGCGCCGTGACTCACGCCTGTAATCCCAACACTTTGGGAGGCTGAGGCGGGCAGATCACCTGAGGTCAGGAGTTCAAGAATAGCCTGACCAACATGGAGAAACCCCATCTCTACTAAAAATACAAAATTAGCCAGGCGTGGTGGCGCATACCTGTAATCCCAGCTACTTGGGAGACTGAGGCAGAAGAATTGCTTGAACCCGGGAGGCGGAGGTTGTGGTGAGCCAAAATGGCGCATTGTACTCCAGCCTGGGTAACAAGAGCGAAACTCCATCTCAAAAAAAAAAATACGTAAATTTAAGTGACATTAATGGGTACTAAATTACCATAATATGTTCAGCTTTGCATTTTTTTGCCTTTAAAATTAATTTCAATTTTAGTGTACTACTAAATGTAATAGTATATAAATATAATAGTATATAAATGTAATAAATTGTAATAGTATATAAATGTATACTTTAAAGATCAATTTCTGTATATTCTAAATAGGAATTGTATATAAGCAAAAACGAATTCTAGAAATTATCCAATTATGTCATTCATGTTATTTAAAGGGAAACCACAATCCAGACAGGTTAAGTACCTAGTGTGAAGGTATGTATCCAATTAATAGAGCTGGGCGACATACATCTGAGTAATAAAGACTACAGAGAAATTATCTGGTTAGGTACAATCTGATACAAAGTTTAGAAACATGTCAAACAATTCTATGTATAGTCAGTGAAAGTGTAATAACGTGCCTGAGACATACCAGATCAAGTTCAATGGTTGTTTCAGGGGGAGGAAATAATTTTTAAAACGATGTCTATAACATTTCACATTTAAAATCATCTTAAGTCTAATTCTAGAATTGTGTCTAATTCTAATACTGTGCCTAGCTTTACTTGAATAAACAGAAATGTAGTAGGGAAGAGACAGCATGTTTAGCTTGCAGTATCTAAGTAATTACTTGTGTAGGTATCTGGGAAGATAGCTCTCCATAGCCCCACTGTCACTGACCTGTAATGCTTGTCCTGACGTCTTCGGTAAAATTCAACAGATTACAAAGAAACCGGTGCAATGCCTTGAAGAAATAAGAGTTTTTTGTATGATGTCAGATTCAATACACCTCTAATCCTTAGTAAAACAGTACAAAACAGAATAATTTTTAGTGTTTTCTAATGTCAACCGAGGTTTTATTTGGGAGATTAACCAGAGGTTTGCAGAAAAATAAAAGTGAAGACTATTAGTCTTTAAAGAAACTAAGACTCTAGGTTTGGATCCCATTTGTGGAGCCCCACATTCCAAGTCATCTAATGTTCTTGTCTAGTTAGCTTGTAAAAGTCTACCATGGAGGAAAACCCTTTTTTTTCTTAGTATAAATGTATTATATGTTGATAGAAAGTTAAATAAAAGTTCAATAAATGTCCTTCTAAGTGAAATTTAAAAGTATGTTAAAGGTGTTAAATTATTTCACTTTCTAAAGAGGTTTTATGCAACACTAAAATGTAATGACTGAGCTGCCTCCTTTTGTTAAGGGACTAGTGCAAGTAAGAGTCTCACTCTGTCGCCCAGGCTGGAGTGTAGTGGCGCAATCTCGGCTCACAACTTCCGCCTCCTGGGTTCAAGCAATTCTCGTGCCTCAGCCTCCCAGCTGGGATTACAGGTGCATGCCATTACATGGGGCTAATTTTTGAATTTTTAGTAGAAACAGGGTTTCACCATGTTGGCCAGGCGGTTCTCAAACTCCTGACCACAAGTGCTCCGCTCGCCTCAGTCTCCCAAAGTGCTAGGATTATAGGCGTGAACTACCACACTCATCCTAGTGCAAGCCATGTAAACATTTTATCCAACAGCTAAAGGAAGATTAATTCATTCCACGGGCATTTATGAAATATGAGAGACTTGACTCCTGTCCGGGTGAAGCATCAGCAGCTAGCTCTACATTATTTTCTGATACTATTCCTACACTGTGCCACCTTTCCTTAGTGACTTGTGAAGAAAAAGTGATTATATGTAAATACTACACTTCATTGATGGCTTGGAGATACTGTGTATCTTTCTGTAATTTTACCCAGTTAAGTGAATAAAAGCAACAGGCCCGGCCGGTAGCCACTATTCTGACTTACTGGTGTCGTCTTTGGAGGACTTTAGTTGGCCTCAGATTGAGCTGAAGAAGATATTAGTTTACTGTTCTCTTGACTTAAAACTTCATCTTGTTGGAACAAACATTTTCTAAAATACCCCAAGAACTTTACCATGGGGCATAGTAACATTTGAAAGTCATTTCGCTTGCAATGTTATTTATTCCTTGGTGAGAAAGATAATCTGGTCTTTTCAGATATTTTATAATGTATCCTTCAGTTTTGAATTAGCTATCTTTATTTCAGTTCGTTCATTGATGGACTCAACATTCATTCAGGACCTAGTTTGTATTAGGCACTCTGCTAGGTGCTAAGGCTGCAGAAATGCATAAGGGTGGACAGCAGCTTTGAAGCAGCTCAGCACCTAATGGGGAAGACAGGCAGGTAGATCATTACAGCCGGAGAGCGGTATACCCCTTAGGAGAAATGCGACATTTAGTAAGATTCAGGAAAGCCATCCCAAGGAAATACGTCAATCACTCATGTTTGCCAAACGCTAATTTTTACCCTTCTGAGGAAAGCTGTAGACTCTTTCCTCAAAAAAACAAAATTTTGCACATGATTTCAGGTATTTGCCTATTCCTTGGAAATCCAAATATCTCAGGGTAAAACTCTAAAGACATTTAATGTTTTCAGTCCAAATTAACCCTCTATAACTTGCCACTTTTCCTATTTTAAAAGTATACTTTCCAGGTTGAGTATTTTGTACTGTTAACATTCTAGAACCTGACCCTATCTTTGTCATCATACAGACTTTAGTTATCACCTCGAGTGTTAACCTTTTCATTCTTTGCTAGCCTATGTGTCACAGTTGTAATTAATAATTCATATGCTGCTGTTTTAGGAAAGTTTTGGAGTCACCTTTAAAAAGAATGCAGTCTGATTATCTCCTACTAGTAGTAAATAGTTTTGCTTCCTTTTTGTTTTTTTCCTGAGACTTTCAGGATCCGGTTTTACCTTTTACTCTTGAAGATTCATCACAAACATTATGGATACATACATTTGAGATTGGTTATATATACATTTGAGATTGGTTATGATATATACATTTGATATATACATTTGAGATTGGTTATGAACGGTTGTTAAGACCTCTTTAAATCTTTAACACGGGAGTTAGATGCTGAGGAGCCGCCCCACAAGGCCCGGCAGGTCCGGGGGTGGGGGTGCTCGGAGGGAGCCGGGAGGGCCCCGGGCCAATGCCTTCCACTTCCCCATGCCTCAGAGAGCTCACACTCAGCTCCTCGGATGTTCTGACCGGCTTGGTGTTTGTCATCTCACTTTATTAAGTAAGGAGGAAATCGGGAAAGGAGGGATAGAGAGGGTCCCCTAGTTCATTCAAGAGCAGACCGAGAGATGCGCCGGTCCCCAGTCGGGCCGGTGGCGGGGTCAGGCCGGCGCCCGAGTGGGGCGGACGCCAGGCCGTGCGGTTTAAATCTCCCGCCTCCCGCAGCGGGAGCCTGACACCTCCACGCACTGGTGCGGAGGGGTACTGGCTGCCGGAGGGCCCGGAGTCGGCGCGGGGCTCGCGGGCGGTGGCAGGAACGCGTGCCGGGACGGATCTCCGCGCGGCCGAACGCGACCCGAGGCGACGGAGGAGCGGCGCCGGTAAGCGTCTGCGGCCTCCCGTCCCCCCCACTTCCCCCTCAGGCGGCGGTCAGGCCCGGAGGCCAAATCCTGGGTTCCCATGGCGACGCCGGGCGGCAGGGGCGCGGCGGGAGGCTCCGACCACTCGCGCGCGCGCGCGGCTTCTCGGGTCCTTGCTGGCCTCCTTGGTTCTCTCGGGGACCCCGGCCGCTGCCTGCGGCCTTCTACCAGGCGAGGCCCTGCTCGGGGTTCTTCCGGCCTCCCACCAGGCAAAACCCGCAAGGAGCGGTTTCTGGCGTGACTGGGTCCCTGCGGCCGAAGGGCGCCTCCCGGCCACGCTCGCTGTAGTGAAGGAGCGCGGCAGCCCGGGGCTCATTTGGGTGATTTCCCTCGGCGGTGGAGGTCGCTCCTAGTAGAGGCGGCGGCCAATCACCCAAACAGCCCTCAGGTGCCTCCCTGCTGGCCTCTTTTTCACGTGGTGCTTATTTTTATTTCGCTATTATTTTGTAACGGGAATATCTTCTTTAGAAACTAATTGGCAACCGATGGAGAAAAACAAAACATAGTAAATGTGCGGTTTGGGTTGAACTGCAGAATGCACGGGCCCACGAGGGGCTCCGCGCACAGATCCTGTTCCCCAGGCCTTGAACCCGGCCCCACGGCACAGATCTGGCTCCTGGAAACGCGGGTCAGCTGGTCAGGTGCCCAGGTGATGTCAGTGGTCAGATACCTGATGCTCTAAGGAAGACGGAGAGGGGAAAGCCGGGAGTCCATCCTGGCAACTCACCCGCGGTGCTGGGGCGTTGCCAGTAGAGGGGGTGGAATCAGTTTTTGTGTGATAGATGATCTTGATGCACACAGCATAAAGGCTGTTATAAACTATGGGTCTCTGTAAAATAGATTGTTGGGAAGATAACATTTTTCCATGGTTTTTATTTTTCCCAAAAGTATTTATGTATTGATTTATTTGGTTCTGACTCAGGCGACGTACTGTAAGATGGTATTACTTTAATCATCTTCACATCAGTATTTATGGAATAGCCACAGGTGCCTCAACCTTTAGTAGGAGTTAATTATACATTTTCTGGCCGAGTAAACATCTCCGAATGGTATGTATGTGTTTTTATATGACCAAAATTTTAAATCGTTTAGTATTTATCTGTGCCTATCATACCCAGTATTCTTTGAAATCTCTATTTAATAGTGCAAAATGATTGTTTTTCTAGTCATTGAAACAGCTATGTGGAAGGCAGTGTTCTAATTACCAGTTTAATTTTAGAGTTAGAAGGGTGCTCAGAGATCAGCCAGTTCAACGAGGAAAAACTGCAAATATGAGACGTGGAAAAAGTAGGATGCCGTATTTTTTATTACAAATATCATAAAAAATATAAAACAAAGTTCATGCCAGCTACGGAACTAGGACCAGATATCAAAATATTAGATATAAAATGGATAATATACTGTCTTGTTCTACTATACTGCCAAACTTTGTGATTTAATTGTGTTATCCTATATTTACATTTTTTCTTTTATACTTTAGCTTTTTCAGTACTCACTGTGCTTCCTTTAAAATTTTATCCCTTTTACATTCTTTAACAACAACAGATGGGATATGTGAAAGAGTTTTAAATATATCTGTAACTGGAAAGATTTCCTTGTTCGAAGTAGATTTTCTTATTTAATAATACTCTTATTGCCCTGTTCCATTTTGTCTGTTTTTCATTCATCCCTTAAGTTTTATGTTTTTTTTTTTTTGGAAATCAAAATTTTCAAACTTGTGCTTGGATCCAGTATTCACCATTAAAAGTTAGTCACCTTCTATGTATCTCATTGTTATTTTGCCATTATTGACTCACTTGCATATAACACTAGGGTTTTTAAATTCCTTTGCTAATTTAGTTGAGATAAAAAATAGACTAAAGTAACACAATATCTATATTTACAGCAGCTGACATTAACAACTGTTAACATTTTGTTGTATTTATTTCTAGTATTTTTTAGATAAGGAAATAAAATATTTCCAATAAAGTTGAAGTCTCATCCCACCCATCCATAACCAGGTACTTAACATCATGAGTTGGTATCTGTGTTTTGTATTTTTTAAATTATATTTTATATGTGTCTATTATTGCATGTGTTTTTAAATTTTAAATAAGTTACATCATATTGCATATAGCCTGCACTTGTGTTTTTCACTAAGTATTATTTTATTTTGGTTTTTTGAGACGGAGCCTCGCTCTGTCGTCCAGGCTGGAGTGCAGTGGCCGGATCTCAGCTCACTGCAAGCTCCGCCTCCCGGGTTCACGCCATTCTCCTGCCTCAGCCTCCCGAGTAGCTGGGACTACAGGCTCCTGCCACCACGCCTGGCTAATTGTTTGTATTTTTAATAGAGACCGGGTTTCACCGTGCCAGCCGGAATGGTCTCGATCTCCTGACCTCGTGATCTGCCCGCCTCTGCCTTCCACAGTACTGGGATTACGGGTGTGAGCCACTACGCCTGGCCTCACTCCGTATTATTTTAAAAATTGATTTGGATTGATATTGATAGTTCTAGCCACTAACATATTTGTTTTAAATGTTTTTTTTTGTTGTTGTTGTTGTTTTGAGACGGAGTCTCGCTCTGTCACCCAGGCTGGAGTGCAGTGGCGCCATCTCTGCTCACTGTAACCTCCGCCTCCTGGGTTCAAGCAATTCTCCTGTCTCAGTCTCCCGAGTAGCTGGGAATACAAGCACATGCCACCACACCCAGCTAATTTTCTTATTTTTAGTAGAGATGGGGGTTTTACCATATTATTCAGGCTGGTCTCAAACTCCTGGATTTAGGTGATCCACCCACCTCAGCCTCCCAGAGTGCTGGGATTACAGGGGTGAGCCACCGCGCCCAGCCTTAATTATTTATATAGTATTCTGTATATACTACATTTTTATCTGTATAGCTTTTTATTAATATACTTAGATTATTTCTAGTTTTTTATTACAATGCTAAAACAAGTAGACGTTCATTTGGTGAATACTTACTGAGTATCTACTATGTGTCTTGCACTATTTGCTCACAAACAGATGAAAATCTCTGCCCACACAAAAGCTTTAAATACCTAGTGGTGGAATTGCTAGGTCACGAAGTAGGAGCATGTTTAGTTTTATGAGAAACTGCCAGACCATTTTCCAAAATGGTTATACCGTCTAATGCTTTCATTGGCAATATGTGAGTTCCAGTTACTCACATTCTCACCAGTTTTGGTGTTGTCAGTCTTTGTCATTTAAGCTATTATCGTGGATGTATATTGGTGTATCATCATGAGTTGAGAATTCATTCCTGCTCTCGCTTTTATCAAAAGTTTTTTTGTTTTTGAGGGGAAATTCACATAACATACAATTAGCCTTTTTTTTCTTTTTTACTTTGACTAAACAAACCCAAACAACTGTTTTGAAGTGTACAATTCAGTGATATTTATTGTTTTCACAATGTTGTGAGATCACCAGCTCTCTCTAGTTTGAAAACTTTTTCATCACCCCATAAAGACACCCCTTACTCATTAATTACTTGATTTGTAGTTTTTTTGTTGCTGAGTGGTATTCCATTGCACATTATTACTATAATTTGTTTGTTCACCTGTTAATAAATATTCTAATTTTTGGCTATTTTGAATAAAGCTACCAAGAACATTTACAGGTCTTTGGGCATATTTTTCATTTATCTTGGGTAAATAAGAATACAATTGCTGGATTGTGTGTGTTTCCAAGAAACTCAATTTTTTTCTGAAGTGGTTATACCCATTTTATATTCCCACAACCAATGTATGAAGGTTCCAGTTGTTCCTCATTGTTGCCAGCACTTTGAATTGACAGATTGGTTGTTAAGCAAGATCAAATGGGGGTGTGCTGATACCTCTTTGTGGTTTTAATTTTTGTTTCCCTGATGAATAATGTTGTTGAATATATTTTTATATGCTTAATGGCCATTAGTATATAGTTGTACACTGCATAAAGGTGTTTTGGTCAATGATGGACCACAGATACGATAGTAGTCACATAAGATTGTAATAGCGTATTTTTATTGTACCATTTCAGTGTTTAGACATGTTTAGATACACAAATACTTACCATCATTGTGTTGCAGTTGCCTACAGTATTCAGTATGTAACATGCTGTACAGGTTTGTAGCCTGGGAGCAATAGCCCCTAGGTATGTGGTAGGCTTATAACATTTGGTTTGTATAAGTACATTCTGTGATGTTCTCACAATGATGAAATCACCTAATGACACATTTCTCAGAACATATTCCCACAGTTAATGCATGACTGCATGTGAATATCTTTTGTTAGTTTGCTCAAATAATTTATCTGTTAAAATGAGATTTTCTTATTACTCAGTTGTAATTACTCTTCATATATTCAGAACACAGGTCTGTTCATATGTGTGTGTGTATGTATGAAAAGTTTCCTCCAAATTTTCATTTTCTGAATTGTGTTTTTCAAATAACAATTTTAAATTTTGGTGATAATCCAACTTCTTGATTTTTTTTTCTTTTATAATTAATGTTTTAAATAGTCTAAGAAATCATTGTCTGCCCCAAGGTTGCAAAGATTTTTTCTTCTGGGAGTTTTACAGTTTTTTGAGATGGAATCTCACGCTCTTGCCCAGGCTGGAGTGCAGTGGCAGGATCTCAGCTCACTGCAACCTACGCCTCCCAGGTTCAAGTGATTCTCCTGCCACAGCCTCCTGAATAGCTGGGACTACAGGCACCTGCTACCTTGCCCAGCTAATTTTTTGTATTTTTAGTAGAGACAGAGTTTCACCATATTGGCCAGACTGGTCTCGAACTCCTAACCTTGTGATTCGCCCACCTCGGCTTCCCAAAGTGCTGGGATTACAAGCGTGAGCCACTGCGCCTAGCCAGGAGTTTTACAGTTTTTAAATTTTACATTTAAGTCTGTTACACATTTTGAATTACTCTTTGTAAATGATGTTAGTTAAGAATTGGGGAGCAATTCTTTTGACATATGGATATCTGGTTGTCCTTGTATTGTCTGTTAAAAGTCAAACCTTTCCACCAGTGAATTGCTTTGGCACCTCTGTTAGTCCATTTTGGGTTACTATAAAGGAATACCTGAGACTGCGTAATTTATAAAGAAAAGCAGTTTATTTGGCTCACAGTTCTGCAGGCTGTACAAGAAGCATGGTGCAGCACCTGCATCTGATGAGGACCTCAGGCTTCTTCCACTCATGGAGGAAGGTGAAGGGGGAGCAGGTGTCGCATGGTGAGAGAGGGAAGGGTGCCACACTCTGTTAAATAGCCAGCTCTCACATGAACTTACAGAGTAAGAACTCACTCATCACCAAGCCATTGATGAGGAATCCACCCCCATGACTTCCCAGAAGGCTCAACCTCCAATATTAGGGATCACATATCAACATGAAATTTTTAGGGGACAAACATCCAAACTATATCAGTGCCCTTGTCAGAAATCATTTGGTTGTATATTTGTGGATGTATTTCTGTGTGTTCTCTAATTTTTCTCAGCAATGTGCTATAGTTTTTAATAGCACTGTGGTATGTATTTCACTGAATTTGCTGCTAAATATTTCATAGCTTTGGATGTTATTAAAAATGAGAGTGGATTTTAAATTTCACTTTCTAGGTTGGGTGTGGTGGCTCACACCTATAATCCTAGCACTTTGGAAGCCTAGGCGAGGGGAATCACTTGAGGCCAGGAGTTTGACACCAGCCTGGGCAACATAGGGAGACTCCATCTCTACCAAAAAAAAAAAATCACTTCCTAATTGTTTGCTACTAATATATAGAAATGTGATACATTTGTTTTACATTGATTCACTAATTGCTGAATTTGCTCAGATCTGTTGCATTAGATCTAGTAGATTTTTAAAAGATTCTTTAGGATTTTTTGCATACATAATCATGACACCTGTGAATAAAGACATCTTTGCCTTTTCCTTTCAAATGTGGAAGGGGTGTGAGCAGTCATCTTTGCCTCTTACCCAATATTAAAGGAAAAATATTCACTATTTCACAGTTAAATATGATGTTAGCTGTGTGGGGTTTTTTGTTGTTGTCTTCTTTTTTTATTGGGGGGATAGAGTCTTGCTCTGTCCACCCAGGCTAGAGGTGCAGTGGCACGATCTCGGCTCACTACAACCTCTGCTCTCAGGTTCAAGCAATTCCCCTGCCTCAGCCACCCAAGTCCGCTGGACTATGGTGTGCAGCACTATGCCCCAGCTAATTTTTGTATGTTTAGTGGACACAGGGTTTCACCATGTTGGCCAGGCTGGTCTCGACCTTCGTGACCTCACATTCTCTGCCCACCTTGGCCTCCCAAAGTGCTGGGATTACAAATGTGAGCCACCTTACCCGGCCAGAGTTTCTTTTTTCTAAATCATGAGTAAGTGATACATTTTTTCATTTTTTTCCTACATCTATTGACAATGGTGGATACTTCTCCTTTAATCTCTTAATTTAATGAATTATATAGACTGCATTTTCTTTTTTTTTTTTTTTTTCTCCGAGATGGACTCTTGCTCCTTCACCAGGCTGGAGTTCTGTGGTGCCATCTCAGCTCACGCAGTCCCCACCTAACCAGGATCAAGAGTCCCTCCCACTCAGCCTCGTCCAAGTAGCTGGACTTGAAACAAGTGTGTCGCCACCACACCAGCTAATTTATTTTATTTTATTTTGAGACAGTCTTGCTCCTGTCCCACCAGGCTGAGTGCAGTGGGCACTCTCGATCTCACTGCAACCACCACCTCCCTGGGTTCAATGCGGTTCTTCTGCTCAGCAGCCGCTCCCCGAGTAGCTGGATATAAGGAGTGGCACCACCATGCCTGGCTAATTTTTGGATGTTTAGTAGAGATGAGGTTTCACCAATGTGTGGCCAGGCTGGTCTTAGAACCCCTGACCTCAAGTGATTCCGCCTGCCCCCTGGCTTCCAGAGTGCTGGGATTGGCTAGACGTGACGCCACCATTGCCCGCCAAAAGAAGAATTTTTTTTTTCTTTTTTTTTTTTTTAAACACAGGGTCCACCCTGTTGCCCAGGCTGAAGCT